TTTATAGTGGGGAACAAAGAAATGGCTGACCAAGTAAATACATACTTTTGTTGTGTTCACAAAGGGAGACACATGTTGAAATGTTGGGGAACAGAGGGTTTAGTGAGTGGAAGGAACTGAGTTTTAGTAGTGAAAGGCTGTTGGGGAAATGGATAGGATTGAGGGCAAAAAAATTCCCAGGGTCTGATAATCTATATCCCAGAGTATTGAAGGAAGTGGCCCAGAAAACAGTGGATGCATAGGTGGTCATCCTCCAAGATTCTATAGACTCTCGAACAGTTCGTACACATTGGAGGGTAGCTTATGTAACCCCTCTATTTAAGGAAGGCAGGAGAAAACTGGAATGATTGACCAGTCAGCCTGATGCCTGCAGTGAGTAAAATGCCAGAGTCCATAAAGAAGATTTAGTAGCAAAGCACTTGGAAAACAGTGGTAGGATTGGATAGAGTCAGCATGGATTTACGAACGGGAAATCATGCTTGACAACTCTAGAATTTTTTGAGGAAGTAAATAGTAGAGTTACTAAGGGGGAGCCAGTGGATGTCATTTATTTGGAATTTCAGAAGGCCTTCAACAAAGTCCAACATTAAAGATAAGTGTGTAAAATTAAACCACATGGGATTGGGGAAGTCTACTGACAGACAGGAAACAAAGATTAGGAGTAAACCAACCTTTCTGTGAACAGCAGGCAGAGACTAGTGGGGCATTGCAAAGATCAGTGCTTGGACTGCAACTATTCACTATATGTATTAATGATTTAGATGAGGAAACAAAATCCAATATCTCCAAATTTGCAGATGACACAAAGGTGGCGGGAAGGTGCCAGATGATTGGAGGTGACAAATGTCATTCCCTTGTTCAAGAAAGGGAATAGGGATAATCCTGGGAATTACAGACCGGTCAGTCTTACTTCTGTGGTGGGCAATTTATTGGAGAGGATTCTGAGAGATAGTATTTATGACTATTTGGAAAAGCACAGTTTGATTAAAAATAGTCAGCATGGCTTTGTGAGGGGAAGGTCATGCCTCACAAGCCTTATTGAATTCTTTGAGGATGTGACAAAACACATTGATGAAGGCAGAGCAGTGGATGTGGTGTATATGGATTTTAGCAAGGCATTTGATAAGGTTCCACATGGTAGACTCATTCAGAAAGTAAGGAGGCATGGGATTCAGGGAAATTTGGCTGTCTGGATACATAACTGGTTGTCCAATAGAAGACAGAGGGCGGTAGTAGATAGAAAGTATTCAGCCTGAAGCTTGTTGTCCAGTGGTGTTCCGCAGGGATCTGTTCTGGGACCTCAGCTCTTTGTAATCTTTATAAATGACTTGGATGAGGAAGTGGAAGGGTGGGTTAGTAAGTTTGCCAATGACACAAAGGTTGGTGGAGTTGTGGACAGCCTGGAGGGCTATTGTAGGTTGCAACAGGACATTGACAGGATGCAGAACTGGGCAAAGAAGTGGCAGATGGAATTCAACCCAGAAAAGTGTGAAGTGATTCATTTTGGAAGGTCGAATTTGAATGCAGAATACAGGGTTAATGGCAGCATTCTTGGCAGTGTGGAGGAACAGAGGGATCTTGGGGTCCACGTCCCTAGATCCCTCAAAGTTGCCACCCAAGTTGATAGGGTTGTAAAGAAGGCAAATGATGTGTTGGCTTTCATTGGCAGGGGAATTGAGTTTAAAAGCTGTGAGGTAATGCCACAGCTCTATAAAACTCTGGTTTGACCACACTTGGAATATTGTGTTCAGTTCTGGTCACCTCATTGTAGGAAGGATGTGGAAGCTTTAGAGAGGGTGCAGAGGATTTACCAGGATGCTGCCTGGACTGGAGGGCAGGTCTTACGAGGAAAGTTTGAGGGAACTAGGGCTTTCTTCACTGGAGCGAAGAAGGATGAGAGGTGACTTGATAGAGGTTTACAAGATGGTGAGAGGCATTGATAGAGTGGATAGTCAGAGACTTTTTCCCAGGGCAGAAATGCCTATTACGAGGGGGCATAATGTTAAGGTGATTGGAGGAAGGTATAGGGGAAGATGTCAGAGGTAGGTTCTTCACACAGAGAGTGGTGGGCTTGTGGAATGCGCTGCCGGCAGTGGTAGTGGAGTCAGATACTTTAGAGATTTTTAAGCGACTCTTGGATAGGCACATGGAGGATAGTAAAATGTAGGGTATGCAGGGGAGATTGATCTTAGTAGGATAATAGGTCAGCACAACATTGTGTGCCAAAGGGCCTGTATTGTACTTAACTGTTCTATGTTCTATAAAGTGAGCTGTGAGGATGCAGAGATGCTTGTGTGATTAGACAGGCTAAGCAAGCAGACAAATGCATAGCAAATGCAGTAAGTGGATAATGCAAAAGAGTGCCAGAGCATGGTGACTCCTTGTAAGCTGTCCCTAGCAGATTGTTTCCTCACATTGATCATATTCATTCTAATCTCTTAAATCTCAGAGTTATCCACTGTGGTAGCAAAAACTGGAAGGCAGATTATGATGTGAATGGCTACAAATTGAGAGAGGGGAATGTGCAACAAGGTCTGGGTGTCCACCAGTCACTGAAGGTAGGCATGCAGGCACAGTAGGTGGGCAGAAAGGCAAATGGGATGGTGGCCTTCATAGTGAGAGTATGAGAGTACAGGAGCAGGGATGAATGTTGCAATTATATAGGGCCTTGATGAGACCATTCCAGAATATTGTGTGCGGTTCTGGTCTCCTTACCTGAGGAAGGATGTTCTTGCTATTGAGGGAGTGCAGCAAAGGTTTACCAGGCTGATTCCTGAGATGGTGGCACTGGCCCACATGGACAGGATGAATTGGTTAGGATTATGTTTGCTGGAGTTCAGAAGAATGAGGGGGAAATCTCATAGAAATCGATAAAATTTTAACAGGTCCTGACATGGTGAATGCAGGAAGAACGTTCCCAATGGCAGGGAAGTCCAGAACCTGGGATCACAGCCAAAGATAAGGAGTGAACCATTTAGGACTGAGATGAGAAGTTTTTTCACCCAGAACTGGTGAGCCTGTGGAACTCTCTGTCATAGAAAGCAATCAAGGCCAATACATTGCATGATTGCAAGGAATTGGATATAAAACTTGGAGCAAAAGAGATCAAAGGATATGGAGGAAAGGCTATGGAGTCAGATAATCATCCAAGATTATAACGAATGGCAGAGCAGGCTCAAAGGACCAAATGGCCTATTCCTGCTCCTATTTTCTATGTGTGAATATTTCTAAAATAAAGATATGCATTCCACACTGCCAAATGCCTCTGACCTATTCCAGGGGTTAAATGTAAAGGTATCAATGCAACCTGTAACACTGGTGTAACTTGCAATTCTATTGTGTAAGGGCTTTTTCTTCTTCTTTTGACAGATGCTTGTCTCTATAGCAGGTAATACACAATAGCACTGCAGACCCTTCAAGATTATTCTGCCATTCAATATGATCAGGGTTGACACTCTATCTCAATGCCATGTTCTTGCTTTCTCTCCATATCCGTTGATACTTGTAATATCCAAAAATTTATCAATCCCTTTCTTGTATGTAATCAGTAACCCAACCTCACAGCCTTCCATGGCAGGATCAGAGAGGCCTCAGTGTGCGTGTCCACCCATCCCTTAAGGTATCACAACATGTGGACAAGGTGATTAAGGAGGCATATGGGCTAATTTCTTTTATTAGTCAAGACATATCGTGTAAGAGCAGGGAAATTATGCTGAAACTGCAAAGCCAAAACTATTGTAAGCAGTTCTGGAATCCTTATTATAAGAGGGGTGTGATATTGGAGACAGTGCAGAGGAGATTTACCAGGATTTTGCCTGGGCTGGAGTTTTAGTTACCAAGAGAGATTGAATAGACCGAGGTTGGTTTCCTTAGAGCAAGGAGACACAGGGGGACATCATTGAGATGTACAAAATTATGAGGGACATACACCGGGTAGATAAGAGGAGATATTTCCCCTTGATGAAAAAAAATCAATGACTGGGGGCATAGATTTAAGGGAAGGGGCAGGATGTTTCAAGCTGATGTGAGGAATTTTTTTTTTCCCACTGAAGATAGTGGGAATCTGGAACTCAATGTCAATAAGAGAGTGGTAGAAGCAGAAACCCTCATAACATTGAAATATTTAGATGCACACTTGTAATGCTAAGGCATACAAGGCTATGGGCCAAATGCTGGAAAATAGAATTACATTAGTTCAGTGGTTCTTTTTGACCAGCACAGATTTGATGAGCTGAAAGGCCTTTTCTGTACTGTAGACTTCTGTGATATTTTTATTTCATGACTAATCCCCTCTTTTGACCTCAAAATGTAATCTGTTTCCACGTCTTACTCAATTCATCTGTTAGTGGAATCCTACCCATGACTCAGACTTGACCAATCCAATTCTCTCACTAGCCTGAACGGTTCATATCATCTTGAACTCTGCCACCAATGTTCTGTCTCTCACCAAGTTCCACTTACCCATTACTCTTGTGATTGCTGACCTACATTGGTTTCGGTTACTCAGCATCTCAAATTTAACCTTCTAACTGATTTAAATCATCTATTGCCTCACACATCCACACCTCCAAATGAGGTTCTCTAGTGGTTCCTGACTTCCCCATCATTGGTAGCCTTCCTGCTAACTGATCAACTCTAGGCTCTGAAATTAGTTCTTCAAATCTTTATGCCTCTTTACGCTTCTCCTTTAAGCTGTTCCTTGAGACACAAAACTGAAGTTTCCAATACAATTCCTATTAGCCCTTTCTTTGATCCTGTGTCAACTTACATTAATCATAGAGACACAGTACGCAATATATGCATGCAAGCCATTGCCGTTATTAGCTTTTGACTCAAAGTAACTAATTTCTGATGAAAGCTAACCAATATTTAACGATAGATGGAAAACATTTGTCTGTAATATCAAATTAAAATGAAAACACAATGTCTGTATAATTCACAGCATATTGACAGTAGGATCACAGAATGTAATTAGGAATTTCATTTGACATTGCTGTGGCTCATGTTAATGTTTTTTAATGATGCTAGAAGTCACTTTTCCGACCAAGTTATCGAATAGTTTTGTCATGCTCGAGATTCAGCTGTTGATCCACTGCAGCACCAAGTCTCTGCCTTGCTTCTTGAACCACCAGGCACAGCTGACTTTGAGTTAAGGTATGCAGACCACCCAAGTCACAGTATTACTTGACATATAAAATGAAGCATTTAAAAAGCACTGAGGTTTAATTATACAAAACAGAATCATTTAAATTATTAACATCAAGTGACATTCCAGTTCTTTTGGACAGTTTTGCTTTGGGCTTTTTTTCAGGTTTGTGGGTTTGAAATCTAGTCGCTGTTTGATTTATTTTACTTCCTTTTCGAAAGTATGGATGGAGGTACCCATTATAAAAATCAGCAGCCGAGAGAACCTTCTTCAGCACCACCAGCTTGAAGCCTGACCAGCCATTCTAGAGAGAAACATGTTAACGATTAACTAATTATTGCTGAAATATGGTTTTATATAAGGTTATAGAGAGACAGACCATTCAGCCCAATCATTCCCTGTAGGCACTTATATTCCACTTGTATCTCCTCCCATTGCTCCTCATCTCAATTTATCATGGTAAGCACCCATTTTCTCCTCTTCTCATTTGCATAGCATCCCCCCGCCCCACCTCCCATTTGGTGTAATTTGCAAATTTAGAAATTATGGTTTTGATTCCAACTTAAATGATTAAATGTCAATTTGAACAGCAGTAGTCCCAGCATAGATCCTTGTGGGACACCACTTCCCATCTCCTGCCATTCTGTATTTTACAGATTTTTACCCTTTTACTCCAAGCATTCTGGCCTGAAGCTAGATATCAATGACTGAAGGGGGACACTCCACAAATTTCCCTAACCTCAATGATAGAAGAGCCCAACTCAGAAGTGCAAAAGACAAGGCTGAAGCATCTGCAGCAATCTTCAGCCAGAAGTGCCAAGTGGATGATCCATCTCAGCCGCCTCCAGTGGTCCACAGCATCACAGATACCAGTCTTCAGCCAATTCAATTCATTCCATGTAATATCAACAAACAGTTGGAAACACTGGATACTGCAAAGGCAATAGTACTGAAGATTTGTGCTCCAGAACTTGTCAGTCTCCTAGTCAAATTGTTCCAGGACAGTTACAACACTGGCATCAACCCAACAATGAGGAAAATTGCCCAGGTATGTCCTGCACAAAAAAGATAAATGCAACCCGGCCAATTATCACCCCATCAGTCTACTCTCAATCATCAGTAACGTGATGAAAGCTGTCACTGACAGTGCTTATCAAGCAGCACTTGCTCAGCAATAACCTGCTCAGTGACGCCCAGGGCCACTCAGCTCCTGATCTCATTACAGCCTTGGTTCAAACATGGACAAAAGAGCTGAATTCCAGAGGTGAAGTGAGAGTGACAGCCCTCAGCATTAAGGCTGCATTCAACCGAGTGTGGCATCAGGGAGCCCCAGCAAAACTGGAATCAATGGGTATCGGGGGCAAACTCTCACCTGGTTGGAATCTTATCTGGCACACAGGAAGATGGCTCTGGTTCTGCTTTATCATTTAATAAGATTATGGCTGATCTGATTATGGACTTAGCTCCCTATCCCCATCTACCTCCAATAATCTTTGAATTCCTGGTTAGTCAAGAAATATAGTTTTACCTTGCAACGCACCAGAAGTGTGTTTGATTCCTTGTGGAAGTGGATAGTCCCAGGGATTAATTGTTCCGGTGTGAAAGCTACAAAAGGAAATGTTAAAAACAAAATCATTGCAATTCTTAAAAAGGTATCCCTGGATTATTGTTAAAGAGAGAAAAAGAAGATATCTGCCTCGGAACATTTGTTCTATAAAATTTAACATCTAAAGAGTGACGTGTAACCCAAGACAAAGCTAGTTCCGAATTTACAAACATCTGCAGTGAATTGTTAAAAAGGAAGCTGACAAGGTAGATCATGGCAGATCATAACAGATAGGTACAGAAAAAGATGCAAACACAATACATGATCAGACTGGTTAATGGATGGTAAGGGTTTTGTTATTAAACCAGTAGTGAGGAGACCTGAACCAATCCAGCTTGATAATAGGCCTCTGCATCATAAGTTCAATTCTCCAACTAACAGTTCAGAGTTTAAATTCAGAAAAATCACCACATTTTCTTAAACATACTGGGTCAGTAAAAGTGACAATGGAGTTGTCATCTTGACATAATCCTGCTGCCCTTTCTAGGGACACCAACCCACACCACTCCAGTTGCTTTTTAATGGCCTTTTCAGACTACTGAGTTGTCCCAAAATTATTAATTGAAATGAGAGTCCCTACTTCAAGAATATGGCTCACCCCTACCTGCTCAGCAAAAATGAGAAAACGTCAGCCTAGTCAATGTGACCCAGCTCCCAAAATTTAATCACTTCAAAAGTGTCTGTGAAGAAAAAAGGGTAAGTGTGTGCTTCCAATGAAAAGCTTCAATTTCAACTGGAAGACGTGAATTTTTCCAGTGAGCAAAACAAAGGCAGGAAAAAGAACACTTAGGTCAAGATAGGTCCACATGATTGAACAAAAAGATAAAAAAAAGAGTTTATATCTGCAGTGCTTTACACAAGCATTGGATATCAGAATGAATTGTTCGAAATAGCAGTCACTGTTGTAATGTTGGAAATGCATGAACCAAATTGTACACAGCATGATCCCACAAACAGCAACATGAAAATGGCCAGTTCTTTTTGTCAGAATAATGTTGTGAATTCCGTTTCATCTACTAAAGCAGACAGATGGCTCAACATCCCATCTGAAAGAAGGGCCTCCAGCAACTGCCATTTCTGGTAGAAAATTCCAATCCTTTACCAACTTTTGTGCATTGAAGTAGTTCCTTACATAACTCTTCAAAAAACTGGTTCTAATTTTTAGGCCACTGTCTCCTGGTTCTAGACCCACCAATCAGCTGAAATATAGTTTTTTCCCTATCTACCATACAAATTCCTTAAAATATATTAAAAGCTGTACTCAAATCTCTACTTAATCTTCTAAATACCTGGAAAGACAGCTTTAATTTGTACATTCTTACCTCATAAATTGAGTTAACTCCAGCTAAGAATGATAAATTCTTCCTAAGGTATAGTGTAGGGAACTGTTCACAGAGTGGCAGGTTTGGTTAAACCATGGCTCAACTTCTACTTACTTGTATTACTCAAGTTAAAAATGCCTGCATTCAATTAATATTTTTGATTATCTTTGCTCCAACACTGACGCAGTCAAGATCTACATACATCAATTGCATCCCTAACCTCACCACACCAATCAGTCTCTTTGAATCTCTGCTGCTTTCCACCATTTAGCAAGTGTTATCCTTGAGAGACATACACTTGGCTATGCTGGTCATTTCACCTTCATTTGTTGAACCTTTGCTGATTCACTTAATCAGTATCCATTATAATTTTATGCTTCCACCTGCACTGTTTATAATGTTGCCTATCTTTGTAACAGCCATATTTTCATTTTGCTTATTTGGTCACCTAAATAGTAAAAACAAAAGAAAGTTGAGGCCCCATAGTGGATCTTTTCTTATTCATTAGTCACTTTCTACCAATTAGAAAAATCTACTCACGGTCCTTACTCTATTTCCCAGTTTTCAGCTCATCTCCTAAACACATTAATAAATTGCCTTCACTTCCATAAGGTTTATCTTTGGCTCCTTATGAAGGACTTCATCAAGTTTCTGCTCAATACTTAAAATCACCTCTTCAAAAATATTCAATCATGTCCGTGAACTTTCTCAGTTCAAAATTTCTAAGCAATCTGTCACTCTTCCTTTAATTATAGGTTTGAATAATTCCCAACCACGTTCAGGTCAAGTGGTCCATAAGTCCCCCATTTCTTTCTCTCACTTTTCTTAAATTGCAAAGTAACTGGTGTCCTAAATGTTTAACTCTATCAGACAACTATGTTTTGTAATATCCCTCTAACCCAAAGAAAAACAAACTTCTGAAGGGTGTGTGGTGAATTCCTAGTAATCAACTCAGTTCACAGGAATGTCCATGTGGTTTACAGTTGCCATAGGGATCAGTGCTAATAAGGCAGAGTAAACCAAATAAAAACTTAGATTAAAAAATTAAGATACCGAGTGGCATTTTCTTGCACCTCTCACAAAAGTTCACAGAATAAACAAAAAGGCTGATGCTAAGAAACAGGCAAAAGAGAACTAGAACTAGAACAGCAATAGTTCTTCCCATTTGCTGGGAAATGAAATGCAGAAGTAAAACTACAGGAAAACAATTTTATCAGAGCCAACTAAACAGTTGAAAGGGGTCAGATACAGGAATCTCTGGAATGCTGGATTGTCAGGTCCTAATGCCAGAGAGAGGATTTATTCACAAATTACTGGTGACATTGTATCTGGAAAATTGGACTGAGTGGAACACTGGAAGTTTAGAGCTCATGTGGTGGGGTGTGGTAAATCTCTATTGGAGAGCTAGGAGTGAATTTGAGACTGTCTGTTTAATACTACATATACTGAGTAGCATAGTGTACAGTAAAAGCATTTTTGTAAGTCAGTTAGTTAATGCAAAATTTACCTCTCTTTAGTTTGACATATCGTTTGCCTGTTAGTTATGTTTGAAATTATGATAATTTTCATTTGAATGTTACAGTATAAGTTGTAAAAAATTAAGTTTTGTTCTTTGGTTACTTCCATTGGGTCATTTAGGAAATTCATCTATTCTCAAAAGACATCAGTCCCAATGGAGATCATAACACATGCAATTGTCCAATCTTCGGGAATGGTTATTGAATTGAAGAAACTTTGAAAGTTCATGGTTAGCACACCTGTAATATTTTCACCCGTTTCTGTCAAAAGCCTTAGATGAAAACAACGTGGTCCTGAGGATTTATCACTATTTGGGGTCATTCTTTGCTTACTCTAGTTTTGGTAAGCCTCCAATCCCAACTCAAACATTAGTTTCTCTAGAATGACCAGATCTCTCATCTCCTCTTCTATAGATACTGATACAATGTAATTAGTTAACATGCCTGCCAATTCCTAGTTTGTCATAATGTCATCATTAACAGTTGTTAAAGGATCCCACTTTGCTCATAACCATTATGACCTCACTTCTTGGTGTTGACTTTTATATCCCTTTGCAGGTTTCTTTTCATATTCCTTTTCTATGTTACTTTTACTTTGTATCCTATCTGATCTACTGAGTACTTCCAGTATTTTCTGATTTTATTTCAGCTATACAAATCACTGGTGAGGCAACAGATGGTGTTATTGTGATCAATTGTGCACACCTCATTTCAGAAACAGAGTATTGCCTTTGGAGAGAGCGCATCAGATTTATCAGAATGGTATCTGGACTGCGAGGGGTTAATTAGGAGTAGTTGCTAAGGTTGTAGTACTTAGAAGGTTAAGAGATGATCTCAAACAATCATAGAATCCATACAGTGTGAATGCAAGCCATTCAGCCCTTGATTTGACACCAAGCCTCTGAAGAGCATCCCCCCCAGACCCAACCCACTACCCTACCCCTGTAACCCTGCATTTCGCCATGCCTAATCCACTTAGCCCATACATCCCTTGACACTATGGGCAATTATGGCAATCCACCTAACCTGCACACCTTTGGACTGTGGGAGGAAACCAGAGCACCCAGAGAATATGCAAACTCTGCACTGACAGCGCTGTGAGGCAGTAGTTCTAACTACTGAGCTCTATGCCACCCAAATCTGACAAAGCTTTGTTAAGAAAAATAGAGCATGTACAAGATGTTTCATTGATTGTGGTGTTTTGAATGAGGCATAGTCCAAAATTATGAGCTAGCAGTTTCAGGAGCCACTTCTTCAGGCAAGACCATAAGAACATAAGAAATAGCAACAGGAGTAGGTTGTTTGGCCATTCAATAGGAGCATGGCTGATCTGCTATTCCTCACATTCACTTTCCTGGCCTTTTTGATTGCCTTACTGATCAAGAATCTATTTCAGCCATAAAAAATACACAAGGACTCTGTCCCCACACCTCCCGATGGCAAGAAGTTCCAAAGACACTCAAATAAATTCATCCTCATCTCAGTCTTAAATTGGCATCCCTTTATTAGGAGTTTATAGCCTCTGATCCTACACTCTCCCATGAGGGGAAACATCAGCATTTACCCTGTCACACCTCTTAAGATTCCTATGTGTTTGAATGCGACCACCTCTCATTCGTCTAAACTCCAGTGAGTAGAGTCCTAATCTGTTTAACCTTTGCTCAGAAGGCAACAAGGGATCATATTTGTGAACCTTCTCTGAGCTGCCTCCAATTAAATAATACCTTTCTTTAAATAGTAGGGCTAAAACTGTTGACGGTCCTTCAGATGTGGTCTCACCAGCACCTTGTACAGTTACAGTAAGATTTCTCCACTCATACTCCTACCCCATTAAAATAAAGACTAAAATTCCATTAGGGCAAAAGCCTGGAACTCTGTTCCACAAACAGCAACTGATCAAACATAAATTTTTAAGTCTGAAATTGACTGATTTCTGTTAATCACAAGTATTAAGAAAAGCAGGACAAAGACAAGTGTTATGGAATTAGTTTGCAGATCAGCCATGATCTTGATGATGGTAGAACAGCTCTGAGGAGTTGAGTGGTCTCTTCCCCCATGTCTGTAAAGTTTTGGTCCTATGAATAAACAGCACAATGAAGTTGGACAAGTTAAAATCAGGTGACTGGCAGAGTCAGTCCGGCCAGCCAGCCTCTCTCTCAAGGGATAAATTTTAAAAACCATTAGGGCAGTTCTTAACCAAAAAGTATTCTGGAAAGATAATCTGCTTTAATGATATTTAGAGATACATATTGGCCAGGACATTGCACAGAACTCCTTGGTTCTTATTCAAAAACTGCAATGGGATTTTTTTTGCGTCCACAAGTTCATTCTCAATTTAATGTATGATCCAACAGTATCGCTTCTGACAATGCAGCACCCCTTCATTCTACACTGGAACGTCAGCCTAGATTGTGTGTTTATGTTTCTGGAGTGGGACTCAAACCTCTGTCTTCTGACTCTGCGATATGATCGCCACACTCTCAGCCATTATTAAATTTCAGGATCATTTGCTAATCAAATCTTCAGTGAGAAGGCCGAGCTACTCATCAACCTAAACATCAAACTGAAGATGTTGTTTCTTTTTAAATTACCATTATAAATAACCTACCCAGTGAAACAGGAATTTCTCGCACATCCACTAAATCCAATAGCTTCACAGTTTTGTCCATCCACAGTGTTCGTAGAGGAATCTACAACATTTAAAGTTAACAATACTATATTGTTAATCAGCATGCTACAATATTGTGATTAAACAGTATGTACTGCTACATTCTCATTAGCTTAAACTCTTTTGTTTCTTCTCCCCAATTTTATATTTTTCTTCTTCCATTTCATTTTCTTAGTTCATTTTGCCAGAGACTATCTCAAGTCTCATCAATTCTGCTCCTTAGCTTACAGGGGTAAAACAGCACTCCACTTGTTCCAACACTATCATCAAGGTTGAGAACTTGTGTAAGCAAGGAGCAGAGACTGCTATGGAGATTGGATCATCAAATATATGCAACACGAAGTAAGTCAGGTCATCTACAAAAGATTCAAGGATATGGTGGAGGCAAGATGTGGCAGGGCAGGGGCTACAAGGAAATGGAATTGAGAACACAGTCAGATCAGCCTCATTTTTACTCAGTGGCACAGCAAACTTGAGAAGATAAACAGACTATTCTTGCTCCTGTTGCTTATGTTCATACATGCGTGCAAACGGCATTGACAGGATGTCTGAGCAGATTCCAGATCTCTCAAAAAATGGTAGGTCAAGCTACGGACAGCAACAGTAAAACACCTCTTTGAAAACAAAGATAATTAAATTCCCTTTTCTTTCTGAACTAAAAATAATTAAATCAGAGCTGTCAGTAAAATACCTTGGTTTATTTTGGATTGCTTCCATTAATTAAACTGACAATGAGCTCAAATCTCAGATGCCTTTGGCATCCTTGCTAAGCACTTACCCTGGATCCTATTGCTCGATATATCTGATCAAGCTCCTCCCATGTCTGTTCCTGCCAATTCACCCAACTCATACCAACATTAATCTTAGGAGCTGCAAACACAGGGAGTTCACAATTAAAATTGTTTTGCATCAATACAGCCAGATGAGACTCTCTACATCTTTCTGGAATAAGATGATTAATAATCTTAAATTTAGTGCGATTTCAACTGCCGTATGCTTTAGAATTAAATTAGTTGAATAATTCAGTAAATTATGAAGAAATTATGCAGTAATTATTGGGTAGAGTAAACTTTTCCACATGTGGGGACAGACTAGGAGCTAAGATAGGACCAAGAAATCAGGAAATTCAGGAGAAACTTCATAAACAGGTAATGATGGCAACTCTGACATTGCTATCACATGGAGTAGTTTAGGCAAACCACACTGATGTCTTACAAGGGGAATCTGGAAGAGAAATGAAGGAGAAAGGAACAGAGGTTTACACAGATAGGTTGAAATGAAGAGGGATCAGAAGAGCTTCACAAGAAGCATCAATGTTGCTGAGGACAAAACAGTTAACCTCCGATTTCTGTATTGGAAATTTCTTTTCACTCACCGAATGTAATACCCTCCTTGGATTGTTCCCTTGCATTCTTGACAAGTTCTGGAAGACTTTCCAAAGTTGAAAGAAGCTGAAACAAATAAATACAAGTGATTTTAGATTTGGAGGGAAACCCATTTCTCCACAGGACGTTGGTTTGAGTTTCACTGATGTGAGACTATGAAATTAATTGCATTTTACATCACAGAACAAGGACGTGACAAAGTACCCTTGCCAATTCTCCAAAAGGACTAACTACTTCTCCCACTGTCACTTCCCTGTCCATTTAATTACTTTTTCTGGTGACACTTAGCAGGCCAGACAGTATCAGTCGAGAGGAAAACACATTTGTTTCAGTTCAATGACTTTTACATCCTGGTGGGGGACTGGATGGAAGTGCAGAGAGACTTGACAGCCTGGTGAAATATTGCTCCTCTTGAAGGGCTTCACTATTGTTTCATTTTCTCCAAGTTTCAGAATTTGAGCAGTAGCTGGTATTACTATGGCACAGTGATGGAATTGAAGGAGTCATGAATGGCACATTGATAGATGTCACTACCCCACAGCTGGGGAGAGACCGTTAGAGTGACAACCAAACAGCCAAAAGGAAATGGCAGGAACATCCAAGTGCATCTCACTTTGTAACCAATTTTCAGACAATACATGATTGTGAATATAGATCTGGGAGGATCAAATGAATAATGGAGGGGGATGGTCTCAGCAAGTGACCAGGGAGTGACTTGGGGATCCCGATAAGTGAGCCATGGAGGGAGTCCTGGTCAGTGACCTAGGGGAGGGGGGGTATCTCATTGAGTGATCCTGGGATGGGGGGCATGGTTCCAGTTAGGAGTGGAGGTCTCAGTGAGTGAGGTTCAGACCTGGAGCTGTACACACTGAAGCCACCCAAGAGGTTGTGCAAAATACTCAATAATAGTAAGTTTCTGTGAAGCAGTGAGAGATCGAACCTTCATCAATCTTTAGCTCGGCTTAGCAAGGTGTCTCAAAAGCTTTGCAATAAGTTTGCATTTTAATGGTTTCATATCCAAGTAAAATTGGGTCAGTGCCACTATAAATGTAACTGGTTTAAACACAGTTCAAACTCATTTTTGAGCCTGCTTTGCCTGTTTGTTTTTTCAACTTAAATATACCTTAGAGATCTGAAAGGACTGATTCTCAATTGCATCTGGGGTCATTTGCAGCTTGGAGACTGCAATCTCTGACCACCCAAACAATTTATAACAATATTCCTTCACCAATCCATGACTTTGCAGAATCTTTCCTTAAGGGAATAAAAGTGTGGCACAATCCAATGTTACAGATTACTTTTGAACTGCACCAGGGGAGCAAAGAAAGTGGGTGGCAGTGGATGCCATGGTGCTGAGGGCAAAGGCTTTCAGAAGGAAGGCAAGCCCATATGGTAAGGAGGAGAAAGGGCTAACTTAAATGTGTGTCTAGCTGTGTGAAGCCAAACAAATAATATTTATTTGTTACTTAACCTCAGAAAATGTTTGAAATTCATTCCACTGATAAACAGTCACCAAATTTTGAACTAGAAACTACCATTCCAGTTCATAAACTACAAATTTGAAGTATTTAACGTCAACTGTGTCACTTCAGGTCCTTCCATGACACCATTTTGGAATCAAATTGTGGGAAATTTGTTCGCCATTAATTATGAAAATCTTATTTATACATTTCAAGTTAAAAGGTTTAATAATGTACATGTATGCATGCAATCTTTAGTATTTGTGCTACTATATCTATCTGAAGAAAACAAAATGCATCTCAAATGCAGAAGAATTGTTAGTGTGTAACTGCAACATCTAGTAAAGGATTTAGTGAGAATGAAAAAGAAACTCCTGAAAATGAAAATGTAGCCCTTGAGAACACCCCACAAAGAGTACTAACTAAAACTTATCATGGGAAGTTCAACTACAAACCTTTTGCTACTTCTATGTATCATCCTTGTACTCAGGCCATGTCAACATGCCAAAAAAACAAAGCTGCTGGAAAAGCTCAGCAGGTCTGGCAGCATCTGTGAAGGAAAAGATAAAGTTAACGTTTCGGGTCTGGTGAACCTTCCTCAGAACTGATGGTGACTGGGAAAACGTCAGTTTATATGCAGAAAATAGGGAGGTGGGTGGGGTAGGGAGTAAACGGTAGGACAGAGCCAAAAGAGAAAGAAAAATAGTTGGACAGACAAAGGAGTTGATAACGATCAGGCCTTCTTACCACATAGCCTGCCATTACATACCCGCTGTTGTTAAGTCACTAAAAGTCCCCATTAACAACTATCACCCTCCCAGCCTGATTGTTATCACTGTTATTCCCTTAAGGAAAGATTCTGCAAAGTCATAGATTGGTGAAGGAACATTGTTATAAATTGTTTGGGTGGTCAGAGATTGCAGTCTCCAAGCTGCAAATGACCCCGATGCAATTGAGAATCGGTCCTTTCAGATATCTAAGGTACATTTAAGTTAAAAAACCTGAACCATTAACTCTATCTTTTCCTTCACAGATGCTGCCAGATCTGTTGAGCTTTTCCAGCAACTTTGTTTTTGCTCTTGATTTACAGCATCCACAGTTCTTTCAGTTTTTATGTCAACATGCCCATCTACCAGTGAATACTAAAAGTTTAATTTGCCACAGAATCTACTGCAGCTAATTTGCGTGTGAAAGAAAGCTCAGAAAGCCCAAGATTTCGGGTGCAACATTTATATGTATTTCAAGTTTTATCTCTAGTTGTGGCTGCGTTGTTGGGACCTTGATGACATCATCGAAATTCCAGTGAGGAGGACAGCGCCAGAGATGAGCAAGAGATAACAAGGTGTAGAGCTGGATGAACACAGTAGGCCAAGCAGCATCAGAGGAGCAGGAAAGCCGACGTTTTGGGCCTAGACCCTTCTTCAGAAATGGGGGAGGGGATGGGGATTCTGAAATAAATAGGGAGAGAAGGGGAGGTGGATAGAAGATGGATGGAGGAGAAGATAGGTGGAGAGGAGACAGACAGGTCAAAAAGGCGGGGATGGAGCCAGTAAAGGCGAGTGTAGGTGGGGAGTTAGGAAGGGGATAGGTCAGTCCAGGGAGGACGGACAGATCAAGGGGGCGGGATGAGGTTAGTAGGTAGGAGATGGGGGTGGGGCTTGAGGTGGGAGGAGGGGATAGGTGGGAGGAAGGACAGGTCAGGGAGGCGGGGACCAGCTGGGCTGGTTTTGGGATGCGGTAGGGGGAGGGGAGATTTTGAAGCTTGTGAAGTCCACATTGATACCATTGGACTGCAGGGTTCCCAAGTGAAATATGAGGTGCTGTTCCTGCAACCTTCGGGTGGCATCGTTGTGGCACTGCAGGAGGCCCAGGATGGACACGTCGTCTGAGGAATGGGAGGGGGAGTTGAAATGGTTCGCAACTGGGAGGTGCAGTTGTTTAGTGCGAACCGAGCGTAGGTGTTCCGCAAAGCGTCCCCAAGCCTCCGCTTGGTTTCCCCGATATAGAGGAGGCCACAACGGGAACAGCGACATAGTTTACCACATTAGCAGATGTGCAGGTGAACATCTGCTGGATGTGGAAAGTCTTCTTGGGGCCTGGGATGGGGGTGCGGTGTAGGGGCAGATGTAGCACTTCCTGCAGTTGCAGGGAAAAGTGGCGGGTATGGTGGGGCTGGAGGGGAGTGTGGAGCGGACGAGGGAGTCACGGAGAAGAGTGGTCCCTCCGGAAAGCAGATAAGGGTGGGGAGGGAAAGATGTCTTTGGTGGTGGGGTCGGTGATGAGCAAATTCTTACTTTGAACATGAGCCAGCAGAATGCTCTGAAATCCTCAGTACTGAGTGCTAGATTGGCAGGTGGAGGGGATGGAGATTTTAGCAAAGGATGCCCAGCAATGTCTCCTCCAGGAACAAAAACAAAGTTGATGGAAAAGCTCAGCAGGTCTGGCAGCATCTGTGAAGGAAAAAACAATTAACGTTTCAGGTCCAGTGACCTCAGATCCTTTGGTAGCTGGGAAAATGTCAGTTTATATGCAGAAAAAAAAGGGGAGGGGGTTGGGGTAGGGAGTAAACAATAAGATAGAGCCTAAAGAGAGAGAGGAGCAGTTGGACAGACAAAGAGTTGATAATGATCAGGCTGGGAGGGTGAATAGTTGTTAATGGGGACTATTAGTGACTAATAACAGGTGGCATGTAATGGCAGGCTATGTGATAACAAGGCCTGGTGTGTGGTGTAGGGGGCTAGGACATGGGAGAGTTTAGGCCCCAAAATTATTGAACTCGATATTGAATCCCGAGGGATGCAGGGTTCCCAAGCGGAAAATGAGGTGCTGTTCTTCCAGCTTGTGTTGAGTTTCGCTAGAACACTGCAGCAAGCCTGAGACAGACATGTTGGTCAGGGAACAGGGTAGTGTATTAAAGTGGCAGGCAACTGGTAGTTCAGGGTCTTTTTTGCGAGCAGAACGTAGATGTTCTGCTAAGCAGTCACCCAGGCTACACTTCCTCCAGTACAGACTCAGGCTTTCCTCTTGACAGGTTGCACTGACTCTGTTTTGAATGTGTTCTTGCTTTTATGTTGCGGTGTCCCTTAGACCTTAATCAATTGTGAGCGAGCATAAGTTAGAGACTTTTACCTTCTGCGAAATTTGCTTAGATAAACATTTTGACGACTCAAACAATTAATACACAAGGGCACATCGCAATAGCAAATTCAAAATTGATATAGCTAACACATTTTCTTACAGCTCCAGTAGTTCAAAATTTAACACCCCTAGAACCCACATCTTATTTGGCAAATTTTCTTCCCAGTTCCTCTCAATAGATCACCAAATTTTAACCTCATTCAACTCATTTCCTTGGCCATGTTCCAGCTTTGACTTTTCCACGTTTCAGTGGACGTCTTGCTATTTCATGGACATTCTCAGTCCATTATCTCATTTCACTTTCTCGAACTAGACCCTGTACCCTTTCTCCTCTTGTTTGGCTCAAAATCAATATTTTCTCAGAAATGGTGTGTTCTGGTCAACATTTTTACATATCTGATTATTTATATTTCTATAAATCATTTAAACTATATACTTAATGGTCAAATCAAATCAAAAAATTATTTTCACAAAATAAATTAGACTTGCAAGAATCCAACGTATTTGGAGGCATTGGGAAAACGAACATTTTTGACAATTGTTATACTTCCCATACTTTCACCCATGGGCTCACCGTGGATGTTTTAGTATTCACTACCTGTCAGAAATTTAAGAATTGAAAGTGAATAGGCAGTGGAGTATTCTGTTGCAATTATGTCTATGTTTCTGGCCTGCATTTTCACACTGGTTGGGAATAGTTAGGATTAAAACTGGTCTTTTGCACTTCGTGCTTTGACTTTAATTGAAGTCAATGATTCATACAATATTATCTTTTTGTATTTTCTTCACTAACCATCTGAAATGAATCAAACTTTAACTCTACTGCAGCATTTGGTATAAAGAGTTCTGTCAGAGGGACCAACTTCTTATTACAAAATATTTTAGTTTCAGGTCCATGCACATATTTTAGTTTCAGGTCCATGTAACTGGATAATTGCATTAAATCAATACATAATCTGGAAACTTGGAAATTGCTGACAGGTGAAAAAGGAAGCTTTTGCACATCATTCTTTAGTCTATTGTGATGGAACAACACTGCAAATAAGCTAATTTTACACATGTATTGAAGTGCAAGGCAGTGAAACTTTATCTGATTCAATTAGTATTTGGTCATCAATTGTTGAACCGGATCCTTAGTGTTTTGTGTTGTTAAAGTCACTTCAACTGTTATTCTGAGGGTTGTATTTCCATTAATTGCTGGAATTTGGTTATGTTATGGTTGGCCTTCTCAAGTGCACAAAGTCCAAATATTTTACCATTTCAGCCCCTGTTTCTGCCAAGATCACTCCCAATTCATCAGCGGTACATCTTGGAGGAACAGCACATTCTTGCTGCATTACAATGGGGCCAACATCGAACCTAAAGGCACAAAACATCAGTCACCCACACAACTACCAACAGACATGATCTCTTTGCATATCATATTACTTGTATGTGACAGCTCCTAGTTAATCAGCTGGAATAGGTATATTCTGGCACATACAAGAGACTGCGGTGGTGGCCAAAATGTCACCCATCACCTGCAGAGCAGCTTGTGTCCCATTTCCCCTCCCTCAAGAAAACCTGCCAAAATGATTTTCAAAGGAGAGTCATATTGGAGCGAAAACATTAACTCTGTATCGCTCTCCAGATACACTGCCTGAGCTGCTGAGTTTTTCCAACAATTTCTGTTTCTGTTACTGTTACTGTTGAATTAAGACAGGGCTTCATCACACTGTAGGACCTTAGAGGAAGAATCCTGCCAAGAGCTGCCAGACAATCAAAGGCCAGCAGCACAGTATTGTTACCCGTGGAGCAGAGGCTGATCCTAACACTGCACCCACCCGAGACCCAGGATCAGGTCAGAGATGAGTGATGACAAGACATGGTTGTGTGGGAGGCAGTCTGTTAGCAGGGGCAGGGGAATGATTGTCAATGGACAATGGACAATCCTCAATCCCAAAGCCAGCCCACTTGATCAGACACTGAGTGCCTTTGTGTAAGTGCTTTCCTCCTTGCCAACCACCTCACCAGGATTTCAGGCTATGTCCATGGTAAGACCCCATCCGCAGTTAAATGAACATCAGCATTGGCAGGATGAGACCTTTGAGGGAACATTTAATGCCCATTTAAGGGCCTCAATTGGCAGCAGGGTGGGCAAAAGGGCATTCTCCAATCCAATTAAGTGAACCCCCAACAACAAATTGGACTCAGGAAAGACATCAAACTCTGCCCTATGTGTGGACTTGGAAGTTAGTTGGGAAAAAAGATGGTTTAATACTGTACAAAACTAATCAAGACGGGTGCTGACAAGACTGGGGGCAGTTTACTGTTGAAAGGTACAGTTCACAGCAGAAGACTGTTCTGAGGCCCAGCATCACAGACATCCACAAGGATCTTCTTGGCTGGAGACTTTCCCTTAAGATTAAATAAATCAGGTAAACGCTCCATCATAAAACAAATGATTTGGTCTCTGAGGAAGAAGCTCACGTGGGCAAAAACAGCATTTTCTAATTTGACACCAAGGTGGATTGAAATCTCAAACGTGAATATGTTTGTGTGTAGTAAAGCACTGACAAAACCTAACTTGAAGCTATGCTAATAACTTATTAGCAAATTGTTATTTATGTAATCTTTCTGAATTGACGTGCACAAGAATGATAAAGTAAGGGATAGAAGAAAACTATCTGCTGAAATTGTGGCAAGGCACTGAAATACTGACATTAAAGCAAAGGGACCATTTTCGAAATTATGCTGAGACAGCCGAGTTACAGCAGAGCATGAAGGACATGGACATATTTAGGCATTATTCAGTGTTAGCATATGCAGTTATAACACAAATGTTGAGGTACTAAAAGTAAAACTACACATTCATAGGTTTTCTCCTATTTTCAAAGAGCAAAATGAAAGTTTCAATGAAGTTTGAATGTTTGGGAGCCACGTAACCCCCCCCCAACTATAAGCAAATCGACAGTTTATTGAACCATGTGGTATCTGTGTTCAGGCATAACATATGCAATAAGATATAATCTTCAACATATTACAGGATGATCTCAGTGACTACAACAGAGTAAGAGTAAACATAAGAAATTGGGAAAGGCCATTCACCACTAAGCCATTCAATACAAGCTCAACTGATTGAAATGTGATCTTAACTTCATTTTCCTATTGCTTGGACTGATTGCATGAGTTCCTTTTGCAAGGAAGTGTTTTAAATGTTTAATTTGTGTAAATCTAATTTAACTGTATTTAGTTTGTAGTTGGTATTAAAGTGCACTCTACAGTTTAAATTCATGTGGTTGAGAGCTTGGAACATGTTTATTTTCAAGGGTTCCATTGAAAGAGCAACCAAATTAAGAACAGGCTAAAACTGGCTTCTTGTCAACTAATTCAGATGGGCCCTTTATGTTGGGCCGATGTTGCTATGAAGTAGCCAACTAAGTGCAATTTAGCACTCGAGAATATGACTTATGCTCTGTGCTCCAGGAGGCAGTTACATGCTTTAGATGAGGTCACTCAAACTTGTTCTGCAATCAAGGACAGGAAGAAGCTTACAAGTGAAACAATAATGGGAACCAAGGAGCAGCTCTCAAGAAGAAATGTCTCTGCTTTTGTCCAACAGTTGCAACATTATTGCAAGCCGTCTGGGTGAGAGCAGGGACTACAGGGAAGATGGGCGAACTGACCACGACACCACGAGCCATCGAAGTGGGGGTGGGGGGAGAAAGAAACAGGAACATAGTAGTTGCAGGATCAGTATAATTAGGGGGAATAGACACTATTCCCTGCAGCTGTAAGCAAGAGTCCCAAAGGCTGTGTTGCCTGCCAGGGTGAAGAACACCTCATCAGGCTTGGGAAGGAAGTTGGTGAGGAAGGGGAGGGATCCAGTTGTCATTGTCCACATTGGAACTGACGACATTGAAGGACTAAAAAAGAGATTCTGCCTAAAGATTTTTGAACTGTTAACACCTAAACTAATAAGCAGAATCACCATGGTTACATTATACATTAACAATCAGGAAGAAGGAACTGAAGGCTTTGTTGCTACGTTTGCAGGCACACAAAAACAGCTGGATGGACAGGTAGTATTGAGGAAGCAGGGAAGCTGCAGAAGGAATTGAACAGACTAGGATAGTACACAAAGAATTGGTGGATGGAATACAATGTGGGAAAGCATGAGATTATGCACTTTGGTAGGAAGAATAGAGACACTGACTACTTTATAAATGGGGAAAGGCTTCAGAAATCTGAAGCGCAAAGGGACTTAGGAGTCAGAGTTCATGATTCTCTTAAGGTTAATGTGCAGGTTCAGTTGGCTGTTAGGAAGGCAAATGCAATATTAGCATTTATTTTGAGAGGGCACAGTAGGGATGTACTGCTGAGACTGTACAAGGTTCTGGTCAGACCGCATTTGGAATAACGATGTGGAGGGGCCGGTGTTGGACTAGAGTGGACAAAGTCAGAAGTCACAACGCCAGGTTATGGTGCAACAGATTTGTTTGAAATTACACAAGCTTTCGGACTGCAGCCCCTTCGTTCGGTATAGTGAGAGAGCAGAGCACAAAGACACAGAGTTTGTAGGCAGACAGATCAAAAGATCATAGAACTGGAATGAATGGAGTGTCAGATAATAGGTCACCTGCAGGCGACCAAGAGTGTTAGATGGTGAGTAAAGTGTTTATAAAGTCAATGTCAGTGCTGTGCTGTCATGACAATCATGCAGAGTGATAGGAATGTACAAAAGGTGACATCTCTGGTCAGACACGGAAATGTAGGTATGAGACCTTGTCCAGAATCTGTCTCGGAGTTATAACCTGGAAGCAGACTGGTTTTATTCGGAAAGCAGGCATTTATAAAATGTCACACTGACTGACTGTGACTACAGACAGACAGACAGAGCGCGCGGGAGCAAGACAGGCAGACAGGGCGTGCAAGATGGAGTGAGAGCGTGTGCGACAGCCAGAGAGAGGGCCAGAGAGAGAGACGTTACAAAGAACAAAGAACAAAGAACAAAGAACAAAGAACAAAGAAAATTACAGCACAGGAACAGGCCCTTCGGCCCTCCAAGCCTGTGCCGATCCTGTTCTTTCATCTAAACCTGTCGCCTATTTTCCAAGGATCTGTATCCCTCTGCTCCCTGCCCATTCATGTAGCTGTCCAGATACATCTTAAATGACACTATCGTGCCCGCCGCTACCATCTCCGCTGGCAACACGTACCAGGCACCCACCACCCTCTGCGTAAAGAACTTTCCACGCATATCTCCTTTAAACTTTTCCCCTCTCACCTTGAAATCGTGACCTCTGGTAATTGAGTCTCCCACGCTGGGAAAAAGCTTCTTTGTATCCACCCTGTCTATATCTCTCATGATTTTGTAGACCTCAATCAGGTCCCCCTTCAACCTCCGTCTTTCTAATGTAAATAATCCTAACCTACACAACCTCTCTTCATAGCTAGCACCCTCCAGACCAGGCAACATCCTGGTGAACCTCCTCTGCACCCTATCCAAAGCATCCCCATCCTTTTGGTAATGTGGCAACCAGAACTGTACGCAGTATTCCAAAGTCCTATGCAACTATAACATGGCCTGCCAACTCTTGTACTCAATACCCCATCTGATGAATGAAAGCATGCCGTATGCCTTCTTGACCACTCTATCGACCTGCGTTGCCACCTTCAGGGTACAATAGACCTGAACACCCAGATCTCTCTGTGTATCAATTTTCCCCAGGGCTTTTCCATTTACTGTATAGTTCGCTCTTGAATTGGATCTTCCAAAATGCATCACCTCGCATTTGCCTGGATTGAACTCCATCTGCCATTTCTCTGCCCAACTCTCCAATCTATCTATATTCTGCTGCATTCTCCGACAGTCCCCTTCACTATCTGCTACTCCACCAATCTTAGTGTCATCTGAAAACTTGCTAATCAGACCATCTATACCTTCCTCCAGATCATTTATGTATATCACAAACAGTGGTCCCAACACGGATCCCTGTGGAACACCACTGGTCACAGTTCTCCATTTTGAAAAACTCCCTTCCACTACAACTCTGTCTCCTGTTGCCCAGCCAGTTCTCTATCCATCCAGCTAGTACACCCTGGACCCCACGCGACTTCACTTTCTCCATCAGCCTACCATGGGGCATCTTATCAAGCGCCTTACTGAAGTCCACGTATATGACATCTACAGCCTTTCCCTCATCTACCAACTTTGTCACTTCCTCAAAGAATTCTATCAAGTTGGTAAGACATGACCTTCCCTGCACGAAACCATGCTGCCTATCACTAATAAGCCCATTTTCTTCCAAATGTAAATAGATCCTATCCCTCAGTATCTTCTCCAGCAGATTCTCCACCACTGACATCAGGCTCACCGG